TAGTATTTCTTCTCAAATAATAGCTCTAAATTTCTGTATCATGGTCTATCTTTTGTTTTACATTTTACAAAATATGTTTTTCTCTCTCACAAACAAGGTCTGTTTCTCTCTTACTTTCACAAAAACATGTATTTTCCGTTCCCGTACATTTATGAAAGTGTCTTTTCTCTCTTACAAAGAATGTCTATTCCTCTCTCTCTCTTTCTGTCTTACTGAAAGAACCGTATACTCCTCCGTGTATTTACTTCTTCGGTCATATTCGTTTTAACTTTATATCACGTTAAACGTCTCTATTTTCTTGAAAATGAAAATGAAAATTTTCGAAACCGACTCTATTTATAAAAACGACTCGACTTTATTTTATAAAAAGTTTTTTTTAAAAAAGCTTTTTAATTAAATAAATATGAATCTAAAATTAGCTGCTGTTACTATTTTAGCAATTTTATCAAGTAAAACTTTTTATACAGCGACGTAGCTGACATTCGGGCATGTCCATCTATGTAAAAAGTATTTGAGTTACCTTAAGAGGGTTTTGATCAACTTGGTAAGTCAATAAAACTTCTTTTTGACATGCATGTAAAAACTGCATCAGTTTGTCTGGAAGTGCAGAAAATATGAAAGGACAGGAAAGAAATACTTTTTACATAGGTGGACATGTCTGAACGTCAGTTATATAAAAGCTTTTACTCAATCTTAAAAACTAACAGAGAAAAACACGAAATACGAAACTTAAAAAGTATATTTTCCCAAATTAGGGCATGTGAAAAATATCTCTGAGAGCCAAAAACAGAAAAAAGAGAAAAATTGACGAACCTGTCGAATCAGCGGGGCTTTTTCAATCTGTGTAATAAAAGAATAATCCAAAAGAAAGAAACACTACCAACTCATTTCACTCGGTTCTATATGATATAGCGACGCAAAGAATAAATGGATGTACCTCTCAGTACATAGTACAAACAAAACAATACTTACAAATTGTTCATGAAGAATAGCCATTCGTTCTCAGCGAAGAAGAAAATACCCTCAATGATTTGAGGGAGAGAAATGAAGAAATTTTATAGAACGACAATCACCTTTTATATAACCCAACGACTTTCTTTTTATTTTGAATACTATATGTACAGTCGTCTGTTCGTAATGATCCAACCAGAATGAAGAAGACTTATAGGCCAATCATATTAACAATGACAATAGTATCTACCAGCTGCTGTTTATACGTTATGTGTCATGAAGAAAACGAAGGCAAAAAAAAGAGAGATGAAAGGAATAAAAAATTTTCTACGTAATCTGACCGTGTTTGTTGACACTGATAACGACATAGTCCGAGAACTGTGCAATGGCGAAAATTTATCCTCAACAGAATTTTAGTACATATAACAGAATTTTACCCTAGAGATCAAATCTTATATAGGATTCCTGTAGGAATTTTATAGAATATCTGCAAGAATCTTATGAATTTCTTAATAAGGCAGTCGATGGAAATGTGTAAGATATTGATAAGAATCTGATAAGATTCAGACAGTGAGAGTCTTATAGGAAGGATATAGTACATTTTCATCGTATTCTTTAGTAATCTGTACCCTCCTTATTATAGTCTACTTTCTTACTATAATCTAGTGTTTCATACGTGAATACAATAATTTTCTTCACACTTATTTGCTTTTTGTACAATAAGATGTTAGTCCCACGTGGGCAGTCTCATGACTCGCCGTCCTTATCTAGTACTTGTAGACTGAATTTACTTCCACAAATCTATCATGACTATAGGAAGAAAATGAAGTTCAAAAAAAAAAATATGTAAGAGAAGAATGTGAGGCACGACCTGTCGCTCGTTTGCATAAATTTCGCTTTTTCAAATCGATCTCTAGGAAAATGCGCCACTTCAGGTCCTTTCTTTTTCTATAGAGATCGAATTCAATTCAGACTTTCTAAGTTGTAGAAAATAGAGCAACTCGAGTACTACTACTATGCATCAAAACCCTTTTCATACCTGTTATTAAACAGGAAGAACTATTGTCCATCCAAAAAAAGAATAACCCATTACCATTTTTTAAATAACTCGCAAACGGAAGCCACTCGCGACCTGCGGTTTTCGCCATTAGAAACAGCGCATCATGAAGCGTAGATTTGTATAAAATTTAATCTATGACGCAAGCTACATATTAGTAATTTTTAAATCAACTTCCCAGAATCCACCGAATAAACATCATTTTTTTTAAACTTCTAATTTTCTTTTTACATGCAGTTTTTACATCTATGTCATAAAAAACGTTTTTTTGGCTTACCAAGTTGATCAAAAGTTTCTCAATTTTATAAACACAATTTAGTCAGGCAAGACGTCGAATATTCCAAGTACAGACAACAGCATTTTGCCAGTACAGCAATTCTGTAGTTATTCCCAAATTCCACACTTTGGATGACAAAATTCTATTAAAGTTACGAAAATTGCGTTCCGTGTATTAAAATTGTGTTATTTTTGCAAACAGAATTTTCCTACAATTAAAAGGGTTTTTTTTCACGGAAAAACTAGAATTTTCGTGCAACTAACAGAATTTTGTGCGATAAAAAATAAAGTTTTGCAAAAATAACAGAATTTTGTCAGAATTAACCGAATTTTGTCCGATAGGTAATAGAATTCTCCAAAAATAACAGAAACTGGAATTTTCGTGCAGAGAACAGAATTTTGCCAGAAAAAAATAGAATTTTGCAAAAATAACAGAATTCTGTCCGATAAGAAATAAAAATTTTCAAAAATAATAGAATTGTATCAAAATTTATGCGCGCTAACATCTGAAACTGCATTTTAAAATCAAAGTTTAAATTTTTCTCAGGTTGTAAAATTTGAATTTTTATGTTTTTGTGCACTGCAGTGCGAGATATGGACTCTGAAAGCAACGACTTGGTTTATCTCGGTCTTCTGAACAAGTTTTGTTCCCAGAGTTTTGTTCTAGGACGCTTTCATGAGACGAAAATACCATAAAACTGTTTTCCATAAGATTTTTTTCTGGAGAAAAACTAAAATCGAGATTTCTCCGACAAACTTCGTTCAAAAGCAATGAAATTTTTTCGACATATACATCTTGATGTTGTCTATCGAATGGCGTTAAATCAAATCATTTTTCTTGAAAAATGAAATTTTTTATTTAACTTTTAATTTTTTGAAATTAGAGTGGGGAAAGGGTTTGAGAAAATCTTCTATTGAAACGTTTGAGCTTGAACTTTTGCAAACCTCCACGTTCGTTCACTTATTAATTCTCTATTGAATAACGTTTGTACCAGGTTTTTATCATTTACCGGACTGGAAACATTTTACTTTTAAAAAAAATGGAAATTTTAAGATTTAAAATTAAATTTAAAAATCTCGACTTTATGCTGGAGACTCGAATTGTTTTTCAAAATGTAGCCAATACTGTTCTAAATACCATAGCCATCTTAGCAAAGTTTCAAAACTAAAGGATTCTTCTAGAAAAAATATTTTCTGAGTTCGAGTAGGCTAAAAACCGCGGTTTCCTAGAAACCCTACTTTCGAGCATTTTAGAACAAACTTTCTGCTAGACAAAAGAAAGAGTATGGCGAGAAACCCTTAAACACCGAGACTTATGAGATTTAGTCCTTTGCTTCTTGAGATAGTTTTTTCATATAACACGCCTATAAATCAGAAGGACATAAGCCTCTTTACATTAATGAGGTCTATATACGCGATTTTCATTAGCGGATCTCTATTGGTGAATACATGTATTCTGAGCTATCAGACGTTCTTGAGTTCTAATAAGTTTATTTACCGACAGATAAAGCTAAACGAAATAGGAAAAAAAGTGACGGATGCTGATAAACAATGGATCTAATGAACCTATTTGACGTTATTTATTGTGGTCTGTACAAAGTCTGATAGAGCTCTCTTGTCTGTGAGAAAAGTCAATTGTTTGCGAGCACTTTTTCTATAGAAAGAGAATGCCTCGCAGACAATGTAGACACCTAAAACAATTGAAACGTTTCTTGTTATTATTAGTAAAGTTCTGACCACACCGACTAACCATCGTATACTGCTTTCTTTTTGGTGATACAGTAGCACACAAAACAGATTTGACAATATGTCTTCAGAAATTTTCTTTTGAATCGGATCGCACGTTAAGAGGGAGGAATAGCTACGAGGGCAAATTCGGTCAAGGCCAGGCTTGTTTTTTGTGGATGCTTCAAATAGATCATCTATTAAGGGCAATAACATGTAGTCGTTTCCATATCTGTTTTAGTTGCAAACAAATACTGATGAGTTTAAAGCAGAAATTGGGGAACAATTTCCAACTGAAGTAGTAAGTATAAACTCCTGCATCGGTTTCACTGAATTACAGGTGTTTGTAATTCTGTTTCTTTTAGATATTTAATGGTAAAAATTTAGTTGATCATCACACGAGAGATCATCAACAGTACGGGCGTGATTTGCTAAAAACAATGTTTTCAGTTAACGAATTAGCATCGTCAATTTTACTTTCGAATGATAAATATAAATGACCACATTTAGATCTTGCTAGAATGTCTGTTTTTAAAAGTAAGACACAATAAACAATTTTATGCATTGACCTATTTCTCTTATTAGTTGAATGTCTTTGTAAAGAAAAGCCTTGGCATTTTAATAGATAACTTTAAAACGTGAAAATCGTTTTAAATCTATTTCTTTGGAGTAGTACAACTGAACGCAACAATTGCGATACTTGAAGCGAGGAAATGGAAGCAATCGAATGAGTTAACAAGTTTCTTGACGGAAAGGATTAGCACATGGAAGCCTTCATAGTATTTCGTTCCGCAGCTACCGAGTTCTACAGGGCTGAAATTTGGAATTGAATTGAATTGGAGAGTTCATAAAAACAAGCAAATTTCTTGAAACAGTCCTTTGCATTCCAGAAAACGTTCTCCATTCCGTTTCATTTTCTAGAACTTATTTCAGATTTCTTTCTTTTCAGATGCTTCCGAACGAAATATAAAATAAGTGCACAAAAATGGGATGAATTTTTCCAAAAATGTATGCATAGGACGTTAACACAGTGTTTATGTGATATTCGAAAAAAACTAAAAGCACAACAATTACAACTAGCAACAGGTGGACAATAACCACGACAAGCAACAGGTGGACAACAACCAATTCAACTAATTTCTTAGTGAAAACATTTGATTTACAAGAACGTATATTCTTTCTTGCTTTGTTGTTATTAGTGATAAATTTGCTCTTATTTTTGTCATATATATTTGTCGTTGTTTTTGTCGCTATATCTTTCATATGGCTTAAAAAAAAGATTTTTTCTCTTATATAATTTAGGTTTACGTTTTATCGTAGTTTAGAGTTTTTTGTATCGTGAAAAAGATTTGGTTCTTCTTATGCATCAAAAAAACAACGGTAGATTGATGAAAAAATACACAGCGAAAAAATTCAGGCAAAGCTTCATTTGGAAAAGAAAGGACGATTGCTATATGAAAAGTTACGATGCTCTTCAAACTAGCAAATAATCAGATGAAATCCTTTATGATCTTATCAAATCCTATATGATCCTATAGGATACCATTCAGTCCCATTGTAGGATCATGTAGGATCAGATTGTAGGAATCCTACATTGTTTCCACCACTAAGATTGCCTACGTATTTCCTATAAGATCCTATAGGATTTTCATAGGATCATATCCGATCCTACAAGATCCTATAATAAAATCCAATAAGATCTTGTAGGATTCAACTAGGATCCTATCGTAGGATTCATTGACCTGGGGATATCTCTATCTTTTTCACTTCTTGGCAAATGTGAGCAAATGTCTATATAGACATTTGCTCACATTTGCCAAGAAGTGAAAAAGATAGAGATATCCTTATTTGATACGGCTCTAGTCACTAGAGCGGTCTCCAGCGAGCGTCGACCGAAGGGAGGTGTGAGCATTGTTTTGAATTCAGAAATATGTTTAGACCTCTACAGATTTTTGATTTATATATTTATATCAGGTTACCACCTTATACAT